GGGATGTTGAGGTACAACACGTTTGCTGGCTTCTGCCTTCCCAGAGTGAAATACAGGTCAGAGTATAATAGAAGTTGGAGAATATTTTCTAGAACTCTCTTGTCAGCTCCTTCCTGGAACCTCTTCTTGGTTTAGCAAGGATCCCAGGTTGTTAATAAGGGGAGCCGGGTTTGTCATTGAATCAGTGAATTGAGCCATGCGCAGCCCTCTCTGTTCTACCCTCTAGCATCTCCACCTGTAAAGTGGTGGATACTCGCAGGAGTATTCACTTTCATAAATTGGAACACTTTGTCAAGAGCTTCTTGTTTGAAAACAACGTGCAGCTTCTCATAGCTGTGCTTGTCACCTTGGCCTTCTTTTCTCTTCTCCTCCAGAATCTTCTTGTAGTTCAGTGGGGCAGCTGCTGTTTATATTTTCAAACTAATCCACATTTGAGACTTTGCACCACTTTTTCCACCTCTTCGTCATTGTTGGCCTTTTGCTTTGGGCTCTGATTCTCCTGGTTTTGACATACACTTCAGAGTTCAGGCACTGGGCATGGAAGCAATTGAAAGCAGATGCATTTCCATCCAAAGCGGAAGGTTCTGTGAGGACACCTTGTCCAGCCCCCTTCCTGGGGATCAGAAAAGAGGCAGGAACAGGCAGGGACTGCAGTTGGCTACACCAAGAGGGAGCTGCCCCTTCTTCTGGCCTGGGACTCTTGGCTGCTGCACTTTGCCCCTCTTCTCTGTCCTGAGTTACCTCTTGGGCAACCAACCAACAACAGTTACTCTAAACTCTCAGCATCATGGCATGAGCCAGCCCCCTTCTCCAGGGGCACCATTCAGGTGCTGTTCAGAAGGGACCCAGAGATGCAGCAGGATGATCTCTGGCTGCTTGGGCTGAGGACTGGGTTTCTCAGGCCTCACTTAGCGTTTTGGTAAGTGTATGCTGCCTGCTGGTCTCTAAGACAAGGCTGTGGCTTTCTGTTAGCGTCTTAAACCTGCTTCTGCAGGAGCTGGCCCCAGCTTCCATACAACAGTTCCTGTCCAATGCAGGGAAGACATTGCTGTTGATCGGGCCCCACAGGAGGTACACAGCTGTCCCTGGAACAGTGCAGGCACAGGCTGCAGGGCTGCGGGGAAACGATCACACCACGGCTCCCTCTGGCCTCGACCCCATAGGTTGGCAAGGCTCTAGTGAGCGCCCAGGACACTCACAGTGAGGCTGAGTATGACAGGTTTGGGGGCATGACTGCCACACAGATAATTCCCTGTGCTGTCCCCACATGCCCAGGGACTTCCTTCCTGTCTACCTACTACTGCATGTGATCTAGAACAGGAGCCTTGTCCTTATCCCCAGAGCCCAGCATATGGTCAGTCTTGAGTCAAGACAGCCAAATTGAACGAAGTGGGTCCACATTGGAGATGGAGAACTGGAGGAGCTGGTGATGTGGTGTAGTGGGTAAAGCCACCACTTGTGATGCTGGCATCCTATAGGGGCTAAGTTAGTTCATGTTCCGGCTGCTCCACTTGTGATCCAGCTCCCTGCTAATTGCCACAGTGTCCACAGTTTACCCCTGTTTCCATCTGCCTGTCTTTCCTGTCTCTTTAAGGAAAGGAGGGACAGCTTCAAGGCTCTGCTAGTCCCTCTTCCTCTTCCTCTCTGACTGGGGAGGGCCCTGAGCCTCCAGGGAGGACCTCAGTACCAAGTTGAATGAAGAATTGTTTACAGGTCCAGAAGGTTCACTAGCAAGCCGAGAGGAAGTTCCAGCTGCCTGGAAGACCGAGCTGGCTGGCGCACTCACTTGGGTTTGAAGCTGCAGCTGCCTGAGACTGGGCTCTGGGCAAGAGGTCATCATATCAGTGCCATTTTTACTTTCTTTTCATATTTTTGCCTTGAAGGACTTCGTACCTAGGACACTAATATAGGAAAGTGATAAGAGCAGAAGGCTCTGAATGAAGGAAGAGATGCCAGGGTTTTCCTTGAAGCCCAGGAAGCCCCCAGTGCACTTCTCTGAACCCCAGACACACAGATTGAAATTGTTTTAGCTCAGTCTTCCGTATGACGATGGGAGGCAAGTGGAGTCCTTGGCAGGAACAACAGGAAGACGTTAGTGTTTGGAAGGCATTGGTAGAGGCAGGTTATCAGGCAGGCTGGAGCCAGCAGACAGGCAGACAGACACAAGGGCAGAGCAACATATGAGGAGGCAGCAGCCTGAGCTGGATCCCTACTCTGGGGGAGGGGGCTGGATGCCCTCTAGACTTCAGCCAAAAACTTGCACACCGTTCACTGGATTTGTTTGGTCCCCAGTGGAGGCTCTGTGCTCACGATCACCTTAGGGGAAAAATACAATATTTTCTCTTGAGATGCTTAGCTTGAAGGGAGGGGGAGCTTTTGCTCTCTGTTAATAAAACAGCTCTTATTTTAATAAAGATTCAAGCCCTCCAGCAGACAGTTCACAGGAAAAAAATACAGAAGATCAATATACATATGAAAAATCGCTCAGGTTTATTCATAATTAAAGCAGTATAAATTAAAGCAACAATGAGATAGGTATCATTTTTCACCAGTTATAATGATGCCTTTAAAAAAGTTTCTTAATGTCTTCCACTGATAACCATGTGAGGAAACAAACACTCTCTTCCCCTTGGTGGGGTCCCACTATGTGCAGTCTCTGGCGAGGACTTGGGCGATATTGGTCACTAGAGATACAAATCATCAGTATACATGCTCTAGAACCCCACACTTCCATTTCTAGGCACCTACTCTATGAACATATTTGCACAGGTGTGCGAAGACCTAAGTGCAGAAACTGTCAGGTGCTCTAGACCTCCCCAAAAGGCCCCTGAGGAGCTCAATGAATGGGGTAGGGGGCAGCGTACGGTGAACTATGGTGTTGAATTTAAAAGAGATATGAGATAGTCTGTTCAGACATGTGTAAAGCTTACACAAATGAGATATTACATCTGAGGTTAAGGGTTGCTCTGAAGCTTATTTTTTAAGCTTATTTGTGTAAAACACTGCACAGAGCAAACATATAGATACACATATAAGCCAGATGTGTGCCCTGGCCCTCTTTCCCTTCCCAGGGACATCTGTCCAGCTTCTGGGCGAGTACACTGAGCTCCCTGGCCTACTTCTCTGGAAACCTTCTGTGAGGATGTTAGGTTTCTGTGGTCCACCGTCTACACTCAGCCTTGGGTCATCCTCCTGGACTCAGGCCCTATGCAAAATTGGGCAAATTTCTCTAGACCCTGGGCACTCTAGCCTCTTAGAACCCCAAGGGTAGTGTACCACACACTAGAGGCTTTTCAGAATGTTTAGAGTATGATGTCAGAAGCATTTCAGAAGGAAATGATGATGTGGATTATAATTATGGAAAGGTTAACTATGAGAGACATGCTAAAGAGCAAGTTCAAAGTCACACAGCAGCACGTTCTGTTTCTTACCTCCTTGCCATCCTCGGCACTCAATCCATGCTAAGGATTAGGTCAGGTATGCTAAGGGGGTAAGATGCCAGGGTTTCTGCATGGCGCTGGGGGCCCAGGGATTTGGCAGGAAGTCTCCCCACCCACTTCCCTTGGCCGGTGGTGGATTTCTATACCAGCAGGGGGCAGCACTCTCACATACACCTGGGTCTAGAGCCTCCATACCCAGGAGGCCCCAGCGGGTCAATGTCGTCAGCAGCTGGAGGTGACTCTAGTCTGGCATCAGAAGTTCAACGCCCTATGGGAAGGGAAAGATTTGCCCAAGGTCAAATCTTGAGGTCACAGTAAGCATGGGCAGCGCATGAGGTTACCAGATAAAATAGAGGATGTCCAGTTAAATATGAATGTCAGATAAACCATGAATATTTTTTAAAAAGTGTAAGCATGTCTTGAACGTCACATGGAGTGTATTTACACTAAAAAATAACTTGTTGTCTTTCTGAAATTCCAAGTTTACGTGGAATCATGTACTTTAATTTACTCAATCTGGCAACTGTGAGCAGGCAGGAACCCAGGGCTGCAGCCTCTTGGACTGCAAAGTCCCACTGCGCAAACTCAACAGTTTTCCCTGCTCCTAAGGTGGCCCTCCCGAAGGCTCAGGTTTCAGCCCAGCAGCTGCTCTGCTGGATCTGCGAAGGCTTCTTGGGCCCCCAGGAATGCAGGCAGGGCCTGGATCAGCTCTGAGATGGACAGGTGGAGCCAGAGCTGGGTGAGGAGGCAGCCCCTTACCAGGCCACCTTCTCTCAGCTAGTCCCAGCTCCTCTTTTTCCTTCCTTCCCTCCTTTCCTTTTTTCCTCTCTCGCTCCTCCTCCTCCCACCTGGCTCCAGTTATGCTTGGTTCCTTTTACAAATTGCCCCTTCTCCTGCAGGGTTCTGGGCTGTTTCCAGGAGCAGAGTGCTGACCTTCGGTAGTTCTGTTAAACAGGGATCTCCAGAGAAACAGAAGCAAAGAGGTTGTGTGGATGTCTGTACGAGGACACTTCAGTTCATGGGGAGACGAGATGAAAAGATAAGCTTATTGAGGTGCAAGACACTTGGAAATTCATGCAGTTTTTTCATAATACACGGTTTCTTTGAACTTTTTGAAGATCCCTCATATGCATGTCTGTGCATGTGCATAAGTCACAGGAATGGATTTTTAAACAATTGCCTTCCACGATTGTGAGTTGGTAAATGTTATTTGCGCAGGACATGCCAGCAGTTTGGAGACTGAGACAGCAGTTGATGCTGCCCTGAACACAGACTTTCTTCTTCATCTTTGCTCTTAAGGCTTTTAAGAGTTTGGCTGAGGCTCACAAAATCCTCTAGGATTGGTAATCTCCTTTTCTTAAATGAATGGATTGCAAATGTATAGCTATAAAATACCTTTACTGCAACATTCAGACTGCTGTTTGCTGGGATCACTGTGATGGCCTGATTTATAGGGAAGCTGGGGAGGACTTGGAGCCTGGACCACCAGGTGCAGGGCCCAGGGAGCCTGGGGGCTTCAGTGACTGCAGGCAGTTCTCTCCTGTCTTTGCCTTCCCCTAGCTCTCACGGTTCCTGCTCCAGCTAACCCAGGCCAGGGAAAGGCCACCGATCCTGAGCTTGCAGAAATGGGACCTCTCCCTGCTTTGCCACTTGTTAATTCTTGGGCCCTCTGCTAGTACCTGCATCTCCTTTGAAACTCTGAAGGATGGAGTCCACATGCCTCCGACCAGCTACATGAGGGGATCCAGGAGCCAGAACAATTCTCACAGGCAAAGGTTCTGACGTGTACAAAGGGACTTCAGAATCTTCACAGAAAATGCAATTCAATGGTAAGTATATTTTGGCACAAAATTTTTTTGAAATCCACACTTTTTTTTTCATATTATATGTTTCCCATCTCTTCTGCTAAATTGCTTACAGAGTTGCTGGGGCAAAGGCCACAAAATCAGCCCACAAGACACAGTAGGAAGAGAAGTTTCCAAGTCTAAGACCTCAGTGAATGCAGAGAAGGAGTTTGGCTCCACCCCCATGTTTGGGGTCCTTAATCTTCTATCCCTGTGAGAAGTGATTTTCTAAGTGCCTCCCCTGTGGCTGGCACACTGTGCATCCATAGTCATAGCTTACAAGTGAACAACTGGTTGCTATGGCAAGAGGCACCCCCCACCATCAAGGAGGAGGTGGGAATGTCCATAACTGAAAAGCTGCATTTTGGAAGCCAAGGGCAAAGCCAAGAAAAAGCACCTGGTCACAGCACTAATTACAGCCAATCATGCACATGTGTGTGTTGGAGAAGGTTCATGAGCACCTGGGCGGATACTCGTGTGTAGGCACATATGAATGCATTTGCACATGTGTGTGCGTACGTGTATGTATCTGGGGCTCGGGGTATTTGTGGGTGGAGTGAAGGGAGTTTGGGGAAAAGGGATAGATGATGTGAGCATTTTGTAGCCTATACGGGAGGAAGCTAGAACAAAATGCATTCCCTCTGTCTCCCTGTGATGTGTCCCAGCCACCGCAGAGTCTATTGCAAAACGTTTGGTGGGTTCAACTTATAAGATCAATTGGATTGATTTTTTCCCAATTCTTTAATGTCTTTTCCAGCCATTTAGAGCCAAATTCGAACCCCAAGATATACACGATCCAATCAGGATCACCTGTTGTTTTTTTTTTTTGTTTGTTTTTGTTGTTTTTTTTTTTTTTTTTTGGACAGGCAGAGTGGACAGTGAGAGAGAGACAGAGAGAAAGGTCTTCCTTTTCCGTTGGTTCACCCCCCTAATGGCCGCTACGGCCGGTGTGCTATGGCTGACGCACTGCGCTGATCCAAAGCCAGGAGCCAGGTGCTTCCTCCTGGTCTCTCATGTGGGTGCAGGGCCCAAGCACTTGGGCCATCCTCCACTGCCTTCCCAGGCCACAGCAGAGAGTTGGACTAGAAGAAGAGCAACCGGGACAGAATCCAGAGGCCTGATCGGGACTAGAACCCTGGGTACCGGCACCACAGGCGGAGGATTAGCCTAGTGAGCCGCAGTGCCGGCCCAGGATCACCTTCTAAACATAGTTCATGCTATGTCATATCCAGAAAATTCCATATCTATAGCACTCTAGGGTGACTCATGCCACATGACATTTATGATGGTTCTTTTTTTTTGGACAGGCAGAGTTATACAGTGAGAGAGAGAGACAGAGAGAAAGGTATTCCTTTTTCCATTGGTTCACCCCCCAAATGGCCGCTACAGCTGGCATGCTATGGCTGGCATGCTGCGCTGATCCAAAGCCAGGAGCCAGGTGCTTCCTCCTGGTCTCCCATGGGGGTGCAGGGCCCAAGCACCTGGGCCATCCTCCACTGCCTTCCCAGGCCACAGCAGAGAGCTGGACTAGAAAAGGAGCAACTGGGACAGAATCCAGTGCCCCAGCTGGGACTAGAACCCAGTGTGCCGGTGCCGCAGGCGGAGGATTAGCCTAGTGAGCCACAGAGCTGGCCTATGATGGTTCTTATAACACCCAAGCCTGCTTCTTCCATAGCCTTTCCTCTCTGTCTGCAGTGCTCTTTTTCTTGATTTCCCATGGCTGGACCTTTTGAGACTTTCAGATCTTTGCCTCAATATTGTCTCCTATTTTTCAAGAAGCAGCCCCCTGTCACTATCCTGTTACCTTTTTTTTTTAAATAAAGATTTATTTATTTGAAAGAGTTACACAGAGAGGGACACACACACACGGAGAGAGAGAGAGAGAGAGAGAGAGAGAGAGAGAGAGAGAGAGGTCTTCCATCTGCTGGTTCACTTTCCCAGATGCCCACAATGGCCAGGGCTGAGCCAAGCTAAAGCCAGAAGCCAGGAGCTACTTCTGGGTCTCCTATGTGGGTGGCATTGGCCCAAACACTTGAGCTTTTCCCAGGCCTTTAGCCATTAGCAGGGAGCTGGATCAGAAAGGGAGCATCTGGGACTTGAACTGGCAGCCATATGAGATGACAGTGTTGCAGGTGGCTGCTTTACCTGCTACACCACAGTGCCCAGCCCTGCTATTCTGTTTTTAAACCTCTTATAGAACACATTTCTCTCTGTCTGAATTTGCAGTGATGGATTATTTCTTGTTTTGCAGTTTCCACTCCTTTTTATTCACAAACAAATGGTGAGTTTCTTGATGATTGGGATCTTGTCTCTTGGTCTTGCTATCTTTCCACTAACCTAACCCAGAGCCTGACTGTCAGTAAACAGTTGAACCAGTTTTTTTTTAAATTATTTTATTTATTTGAAAGGCAGAGTTACAGAGAGAAGTAGAGAGAGAGGTGTAGAGAGAGAGAGAGAGAGATCTTCCATCTGCTGACTCATTCCCCAAATTGCTGCAATGACCAGTGCTGGGCCAGGCTGAAGCCAGGAGCCAGGAGCTTCTTCCAGATCTCCCACATGGGTGCAGGGGCTCAAGCACTTGGGCCATTCTCTGCTGCTTTTCCAGGAGCATTAGCAGAGAGCTGGATCAGAAGTGGCACAGCTGAAACTTGAACCAACACCCATATGGAATGCTGGGGCTGCAGACCGAGGCTTTAACCTGCTGTGCCTCCCCCTCCCCCCATTTAACATTTGAACAGATAAACGAAGGGAGGCCTGGGACCACCTGGTGAACAGTGATGAACAGAAGATGAGTGATTGCCAAGAAGTTTGGGGACTCTGCCTTCTTTCTGGCATGTGTTGTGTCCTGCAATCCCTGGGCCAACTTCTATAGGTGCTCCTGGGGCTTCTATTTTTCTCTCTAGAAATGATGGCACATGGATCCCAGTCTCTGGGGTTCTCCCAGAGTCTATAGAATTTGGAACCAAAGGCTGCTGGCTCTGCTGTAGCCCAGCCAGTTTGGAATATGACTCCCATGGAGGTCCTTGACACAGTTGGCCAGATCAGTTGTAGGGGCTTCAGTCTGACCATAGTAGGTGGCACAAGATCAGAAGGTCCTTGACACAGTTGGCTAGATCAGTTGTAGGGGCTTTAGTCTGACCACAGTAGGTGGCACAAGATCAGAAGCTGATTGACGAGGAGGAGGAAGCTTCTGATTGCTGAACAAGCAAATCAGGGCAGGGAGGTTCTGTGGAAGGTCAGGACTACCCTTTAGTATTCTCAGGGGTCAACCCTGGGAGTCCAGACGCCTGAAGCACGTATGGCTCAGTAGTCAGTAGTCCTCCTTTCCTGCAGATTCCATATCCGCAGATTCAACCACCTGTGGATTAAAAATACTCAGAAGGAAATTGCATCTATAGTGAACATATATGGGGTTTTTCTTGCCATTATTCCCCCAAACAATGCAGTCTAATAATTATTGCATAATATTACATTGTATCAGTTATCATAAGTAATCCAGAGATGATTTAAAGTATAAGGGAGTATGTGTAAAGGTTTTATGCAGTTATGTAAGCACTTTGGGCATCTGTGCATTTTGGTATTTGTGGAACTCCTGGAATCAACCCTCTGTGGATACAGAAGAAAAACTGTATAAAGTACTTTAAAACTCTAGTTTGTGAAATTACACTTTCCTTTATTTAAAATTATCTATTTATCTATCTACCAACTTATCATCTATCTATTATCTATCTCTATATCAGGCTGGGACTAAGGTAAGGAAAATAAACCTACTATGCTTCCTGGCTGTTAGGAAATCCACTCAAGTGAGTCTGACGATTTTGTTGCCAATCCTTTAAGCTACATTCAGTGTGCGTTAGGGAATGTTCTGGAAAACATAGTAGCTGTACTACTGCAAAGGATAGTGGGAAAAGGCAGCCATTTTGGAGGAGAGAGACGTGATCATCTAGGGCATTGCATGAGTCCCAAAGTTCTGTAGCCAATCCTCTAGTTATATTTACTATGGGACAGGGAAAGTTTTAGAAAAATGGTGGCTATACATTTGCAGAAGTTGTTAGGAAAAGGCAAGACAGAACTTGACTATCACAGGGCATCATAGGAGTCTCATATTCTATAGTCAATCCTTTAAGCTACTTTCAACATGGATGGTAAAAAGTTTTAAGAAATTAGTTGTTGCATTGTTGCAAAGGATACTGAGAAAAGACAACAAATGTTGGAGAGGACGTGAGAATTGACTGCTCTAGGGAATCATCTCAAATCAACAGACTTTAAGTTACATTCTCTGCAGGTAAAAAGTGTTCTAGAAAAATGGTGGTCATGCTGTTGCAGAAGACACTGGGAAAAGGCCGTTATTTAGGAGAGGAGGGAAGCTTACTGTTGTAGGAAGTCATGTGAATTCCACTACTCTGTAGTCAAAGCTACATTCAAGTAGATGAGGGCAAAAATTGTGGTTATACTGCTCTAAAGTGCAACTAGACTACAAAGAAAGGGAGATTTGACTATTCTTTGGAGTGGATTACAATAAATGCTGAAATGATTCCACCCTTTACAAATAATAGGAAAAAGACTTTCTAGTTCACAGACCTCTTGGGAATAAAATTAAGTCAGGAATATTGATTTGGTATTCTGTGTCCAAAGACTGAAGCCAAATCAAGTTGCTCCAGGGGGTCAGACTCCAATAAGCCACTCATGGCTCTGGGTTAATTAAAGTTAGCTGTGAAGACTAGAGGAATTACAGTTTTAAAATATAGACATTATATTGAATTCAGAAATTAAATTTAAAAATTGAATTAATTAATTATATTCATCCATTCATTCACTTTTGAATAAAACAATTCATGAAACTTATTGCCTCTGGGAGAAACATACCATACAAAGGTAATAGTAATAACAATAATAATAATAATAATATCCTTTCTGCTGCTTCTGGAAAAAGGTAGTGTGTGACTTAAAAATATGAAAATAATAATTTTTTTTAAAAATTGGGACGATGCTGTCGTGTAGTAAGCTAAGCCTCCACCTACAGTGCCAGCATCCCATATGGGCGCTGATTCGTGTCCTGGCTGCTACTCTTCTGATCCAGCTCTCTGCTTATGGCCTGGGAAAGCAGTGGGGCATGGCTCAGGTGCTTGGACCCCTGCATCTATGTGGGAGACCTGGAAGAAACTCCTGGCTCCTGGCTTGGGATCGGCCCAGCTGCGGCTGTTGCAGCCATTTGGGGAGTGAACCAGTGGATGGAAGACCTCTCTCTGTTTCTCCCTCTCTCTGTGTGCAACTCTACCTCTGAAATCAATAAATGAAGTTTTTGAAAAATGATTAACAGAAGGAAGTTAGGACTCACTGCAGTTCACAGATTTTTCCCAACCTCAATCACATGTATATAAAAGGCTTATATTTTATAATGCATGTAATTCCACATAGAGTTTCTAAAATTAAAAAGAAAAAAGCAACAAGACAAATAGCTGTTTTTGCATAGTCATACCTGCCTTATTGTGAGTGATCACAATAAATGTATTAACAACCTATAGGTGGTATTGTGAAGTTAATTCTTATTGTATTGATCTATTGACAACAAACTGTTATCTCTTTTTTTAAGATTTATTTATTTACTTATTTGAAAGTCAGAGTTACACAGAGAGAAGGAGAGCCAGAGAGAGAGAGCGAGAGCGAGAGCGAGAGAGAGAGAGAGAGAGAGAGGTCTTCCATTCGCTAGTTCACTCCTCAATTGGCCACAATGGCCGGAGCTGTGCCGATCTGAAGCCAGGAGCCAGGAGCTTCTTCTGGGTCTCCCATGTGGGTGCAGGGGCCCAAGGACTTGGGCCATCTTCCACTGCTTTCCCAGGCCATAGCAGAGAGCTGGATTGGAAGTGGAGCAGCTGGGACTAGAACCAGCACCCATATGGGATTCCGGCACTGCGGGCGGTGGCTTTACCTGCTACAGCACAGCACAGGCCCCCAAACTGCTATCTCAAACAAGCAAAAGTACTCAGTCACTAGCTTATCATTCTTATTTTGCCTTCAGAGTCTCAGAAAATATTTTGTCCTTCTGGCTCCAACCAATAGGAAAATCAAGGAGGAGAAGTCTGGAGATAGTTGTAGGAGAAACTTTTAATCCAATTCCCCTTTATAGTCCTGGGGGAATACCCATTGTGCTTTCCAGATTGTTTTTGAAGCATCCTAAGAAGATCAGAGATTATGACTGTGAACTATTGTTCACAAAATGTTACTCCAATATTTGTGTTCTCCTCTAGAGATACATCTTGCATTATTCCAGCAAATATGGCATGGTGGCCAAGATCCTAGTGGACTCCTTTGCACTGACTTGGCTTCACCTTCAGCTTTATGTTGTCGCTTAAGAACAAGAAGGATTGTGGATCTTCCTCTGCATATCGGGGTGCCTCCTGCCAGGTGACGGGTTCTACTGCAACAGGGGGAGTGGGTAAGGAACAGGCTGGCCCTCAGGGCATCCTTAAGTGCCACAATGAAGAGGACTTCCTTTTGCAGCACTATCCCCTACCCAGAGTTTTCTTATCCATTGAGTTTTTTTAATTTAATTAATTTATTTGAAAGGCAGAGTTAGAGAGAGGCAGAGGCAGAGAGAGCACACGAGTGAAAGAGGTCTTCCATCTGCTGATTCACTCCCAGATGGCCACATCAGCTGGAGCTGAGTGGATCCAAAGCCAGGAGCCAGGAGCTTCTTCCTGATCTCCCACGCAGGTGCATGGGTCCAAGGAGTTGGGTCATCTTCTACTGCTTTCCCAGGCCATAGCTGAGAGCTAGATTGAAGTGGAGCAGCCGGGACTGCAGCTGGTACCCATACGGGATGCTGGTACTGCTGCTACCTGCTATGCCACAGCGCCAGTTCATTGGGTTTAAATTTGGGCTTGAGTAAGTGCAAGGCTGCAAGCCAGGTGGCAAGAGATGACTGCATGATTATTTTATGTACAGACCTTCGGTTCACATCCCCATTTTACACTTCTATTGTTTTAAATCTCTCTCTATCTCTCGCTCTCTCTCTCTATATATATAGATATATAGATATGTTTGAAAGGCAGAGTGATAGAGAAAGGGAGAGACAGAGAGAAAGATCTCCCACTTGGTGGTTTACTCCCCAAGTGGCCACAATGGCCAGAGCTGGGTTGAAAGCAGAGCAGCCAAGGCTTGAACCTGAACTGGCAGTTCGATATGAGGATACCAGCAACAAGGGCAGCAGCTTAATGAGCAACTCCACAAGGCCAGCTCCTCCGGTCCCGTAGTTGAGATACTCCCACTCCTTTGTCCATT